GGTGGGAGGGAGGTTTCCGAGGGTCTGAGCGCTTTGCTGAACTTTTATCGTTAGATCCACCCAACTTCTGCTTTCCCTGTGGGGTTTCTGTCTTGATGCAGATGTTTTTCTTTCCTAATTAATGAAAGCTGCAGCTGGTACCTAGCCAGGCTGCAAAATGAAAGTTGAGGCATTATTGTGAATAAACATCACTTTCCTGCACAGTACTTTTTTTTTTTCCTTTCTTTTTTGGTGTTTTTTTTTTTTTTCCTCTCCATTCTCTTTTGATAGATGAGGCATTTTGATGGCAGGGAGACTTCATCTTTAGGTATATCTGTGGCCTGGTGTCTAAACCTTTTCCTCCAGTCTAATACTCTGGCACAGGTAGTCTTGGGAGACTTGTAGTTTGCTGACACTTTCCGGCCAGGCTACTAAACTTGTGTTTTTATTCCCTCCAATGTTGTGGTTCCTGTTGGGTAGGATCAGCAAGGGATAAAACACTAATGGTTGTTTCAGGCTGTTCTGGTCATAAAATACAAGACTATTGTTGCCAGGACTGTAAATACAGGGTTCACTTACATGATTGACTTAACAGCAGAGAAAACCCAGTCAATTAAACCTAAATATTTGAAAAGCAAAACAAGCACCGCCAAGACTCTGCAAATTCCCCTTGGTGTCCCCCAAGGAGAATACAAGTATTTGTGAGGGCCAGACTTGAACAAGGAGCTTGCACGGGAAAGTAAATTCCCCAAACCAAAATGCTGCTTTTCTTTTGATGTTGAGGACCAGATTGTCTTGCTGGGAAAGTAAATATTTTAAAAGTTGCCACAAAACTTTGTTAATATTAATTATGGGTTTTTTTGTTCTCTCTACAGAATCAGGCGCAGCTGTCTGTGAATTTTTTTTAAAGGCAGCCTGTGGAAAAGGCAAGTAATATTTCCGATACAATTGTAGTTATTGAAGGGGAGGGAGGAAACTAGATTTTCTACCAGTGGCTGCAGTACTGTTGTTTTTTTTTAGAGATGAGGGGATAATCAAGATAGAGGATAAAAATGAAGGACATTGGAATAACTGTGGCAGTTGTGAAATAACGGTATTTTTTTAAAAAGTCGGGAGGTGAATAAGCAAAGCTACCGCTGAAGGAAAGCTTGAACTTGTTACAAGCAGACTTTGCTGTGGATGTGCTTGTATTAGTTGCTGTGGTTTGTGGTTGCCAGAATTAAGAGCTGGAGACTACATTGCTTAGCTTGTTAGAGGGTAACGTAAGACTTGTCCCAAGTGGCCATTGCACTGAAGGCTAAATTCATAAGAAAAAGTGATACGTTCTGAAACCTGTGTTGCAGAGAGGAGCAAAGTGCTGCTGATGCCCTGTGCCTTCTTGTGCCATGTATTTTAATTGGGGTTTTTTTTTCCCTACTCCTTGCCTCATCTTTCTGCAGGAGGCATGTGCCCATTCCGACACATCAGTGGGGAAAAGACAGTTGTTTGCAAACACTGGCTACGAGGACTGTGCAAAAAGGGAGACCAGTGCGAGTTTCTGCATGAGTACGACATGACCAAGATGCCTGAGTGTTACTTCTACTCCAAATTTGGTAAGGGGCATTGTATCTCCTGCTTAGCATTCCTTGCTGGCATGGGAGTCTGGTGAAGAGGATCCTGGTGCATCCCTCTCATCTGTCTTCAGAGCATTACAGTTCTTCTGTGTCTGATGATATTGTTAGATTGTAATTTTTTTTCAGATCTGCTTAGTCCTTCGCCTTATTATCCCCCTAGATTTATGATTTATTGTAGTTGTTGTCTCTCTCAAGAGCTTGTCCCTTGGGGGAAGAGGGGGGAAGTTCAAGTTTTTATTGGGTTTTATGCCTTATGTTCTGTTTTGGGTATGAGATGAGTAGGCTGAGCAGTTGGTCTTTGCATGACTCTTATTTTGGGGAGTTGATGAGCAGCAGAGGGCATGGGAGTGCAAAACTTTTATGCACTTGCTTTCCAGCTCTGGAGATCTGGACATAATGAGGCAACTTGCTGTCAGAAACTTACAGTCTTGTAGGTTTCCTTGGATTGAGGTTAGTGCGCAATTTGTAGTTTCTCCACACTTCTGGTGCACTAAATGTTTGGTTTTTGTTACCATGACTGCTCTTTCAAATTTAGTTTCTGCATTGTTTTTAAAAGCATATACAAATAATCCAGTCTGGTAGAACTTTGCTCACCGGTGGTGAGTCCTTGGTCTTCTTCATCTAGGTTAAGGCAGGCAATAAGACTGTTGTGCCTGAACTTACAAATGTTGGTAACAGCTTTGTGGGAGCTACATGATCCAGGTAACATTTTGAGAGTTGTTCGATCTTGAACCTGCACAATTGACTAAGAAGTGTGTTTGCCTTTGGTACAGGGGAATGCAGTAACAAAGAATGTCCATTCTTGCACATCGACCCGGAGTCTAAGATCAAAGACTGTCCCTGGTATGACAGAGGCTTCTGTAAACATGGTATGTATGTCACACAGTTGCAGCTTCTGCGGCTATAAATCAAGCGTAGGGTGTTGCTGTTCTTTCTTTGCGAGATCTGCTTGTGTACTTGCTACTATTGAGTGCTGGGGTACGTATATATGGAACATGAACTACTGAGCTTTGTGTTGCAGGTCCCCTCTGCAGACACCGGCACACTCGAAGAGTCATTTGTGTGAATTACCTAGTAGGATTCTGTCCAGAGGGGCCTACCTGTAAATTCATGCAGTGAGTACGCTTCCAGGCTTGTCCTGTAATCTTGTGTTTCCCTTATAATGCGGTATATGTCAAATGAGGGTGCTCCAGTGCTTCCCAATGGCTTTGGAGATTTGGCCAACATTTACTTTGTTGTACCGATTTGAGGATATGGGGCAGAACCTCTTCAGGGAGTTACCAGTAAGACCTTGGTGTGGTGATCAGATGCCATCAGTGCATCGGGGGGATCACATGGGTTTATATTCCAGAAGACTTCACAGGTAGAGGGTTATACTCCATACTGGGTTGTCATTTTCATGTATGTAATTGCTGAGCGTCAGAATGCAAAGAGAAGTGGGGAGGGGGAGGCCTATTTCCTGTGAGCCGAATTTAATTGGCTGAATGTTTGTTTTGTTGTTTGGAGTTACTTGACTAAGCTGATGGTAAAATGCGGGCATACGATTTGAGAATCAACTTTCTTGTTTCCGTCTAAACCAGCCCTCGGTTTGAACTGCCAATGGGAACCACAGAGCAACCACCACTGCCTCAACCGACACAAACACAGCAAAAGGTACACGATTTCCCTGCCTCCTCTACACGCCCACCCTCAGAGGATTTCCTACAGTGCTTTAAAAGAGGGTGTTATAGTCTAGTGGTCAGAACTGGACACCTGGGCTCTTGGATTGCTGGAAAGCCTTGGAGAAATACTCACACAATGAGGGAAAACGTTCCTATTTTACAACAGGGTGTGATATTCTTTTGTAATTCAGAACTTAGAGACAAATCCTACTAAACTGCAAAGCACTGTCCCTTCTCTCCCCTCCTCCCAGCCCTCTCATGTCCACCATCTGATCACAATAGACTGCTGCTGCCTTTGACCTGGGACCATGGTGTTTTGCCTTATTCTGTTTCTCCTCTCACCTTGGTTAACCTTCACAGTTGTTAGTACTGCCCTCCAGCTCAGAGGCCAGCAATGGCAGTTCTGTCGCTTGGGGCGCTGCCTGGAAGTGAGGGTGCTGTGCAAGAATTAAGCAGTGGGCAACCCTGAGTGCCATTATAGTGATGAAAGCCCTACAATTCCTCCAATTTTACATGGAGATCTAGTCACAGAATACTCCCACATTACATGGCACATCATACGTGGTTGTGCAGCAATCTGCCAGTTTTTGTAAGCTGCGTGACATCTCTCAGCGATGACAACGATATTTTAGCAGCCTAAACCTACTCTCTAAATCCGCCTTCCAGAGAAAAGCAGGATTGCTGGGCTTTGTAAGCCGCAGCGCTTGATTTCTTCTCTCTGATGCTCCAGCTGGCAGGGCACCCACACACAGATTCGGAGGAAAATTGATCATTTGATATGTGGGGTGCTCTTTTCCCTTCTTAACAAAATAACAACCGTAAAGGTCTTTATCCTCGATGCACTTAACGAGTCAGAACTCTTCTCCTAACCAACAGAGGACACCCCAAGTCATCGGAGTCATGCAGTCTCAAAATAACAACACTGGGAACAGAGGACCCCGGCCGTTGGAGCAGGTCACCTGCTACAAGGTAATTCAGAGAGGAGGGACGAGGAGGGAAAGCAGAGGGTGCTAGATTTAAGAAGTACAGAGTGCACATCACCTGGGCTATGTCATGCTGCTTCGCTGCTGGTTGCTTGTCATAGGCAAAGGAAGGGACTGTTGTGATGAGGGGTGTTGGTCCTGCAAAAGTGTTTTTCACAGTGTGAACAGGTTCACGATGTGTGCGCTCTGCTCAACAGACATTGTGTTTTGCGCGTGCATACAGCTGTGGGAATTAGCACTGAGTCCTGAGGCCTCCGCGTCACTGGTTTGCCAGCTCATGGACTTGCTGTGCAATTAAGGCTGCTCTAGAACAGACTGTGCTTGTCTGCTAATAAATAGGAAACCCTACTGCAATGACAGTTAAAGGAGACTGCTGAACTGTCCATTTCAAAATAAGAGTTAATACTAGTTTTGATTCATGAGTTAATTTGCTTACACTTGGTCACTGTAGAAAGATTTTCTTCTCCCCTGTTAGCCTGGAAGGTCCCTGGGAGTAACAGAAACTCAATATGCAAAGACTGTTCAGTATTTCAACTGTAAATGCACCCCGTTGCTGTCAAACCAAGGAATGAGCTATCCACCTTGGTTGCTCATTGAGGAGCACCGGTAAAACTTTGACACAATTGATTTTCCATCTCTGTTTATTTTTCCACAAAAGCCTCAAACCTAGCCATGGGAAAAGGGCAAAGAATCTTCCTGTCCCATCAGCTTTGACATTTACCTCATTGTACATGCCAACTTCTGTGCCTTAGGTGCTCATTTGGGTAAAAATTGCTGTGATTGGACAGGGATATTAAGTGGCTGAATCCATTTAACTGAAAACCTTTAATAGTTGCTTATTATTTTAGCTACAAGTAAATTACATAGCTGGAGAATGCTGTTGCACCAGATACTGGCATTTCTCTCTGGGCTTGTATAGCTTCAAGCTGCAAAATCATGAATCTCTTGTTCAGACGTGCTTTCCTCTGTCTAATTCAGGATAGCTGATCAGGAGAGTCCCTGTGTTTCTCTGATGTAGTGCATGTCACATGGAGAAGTGTTGGAAGGCTCAAAAGTTGAAATTCTCCCTGAGTGTTACAGCCCTTTGCTGTTTGTAACGATGTGCTGAGAGCTCTCCCCTTTGTAATGCGTTATAATAATATGATGTCAGGTTGCTCTCGGCACAGAAGCAGTTTTTGCTCCAAGGAGTAGAAATAACCCATAAATCATGTCCCTTGTGACACTGTGTTTCACTTCACCTGCTAAATGCTGCATCTTCCATACGCAGAAAACCTTCCGAATCAGAACAGTTGCCAGCTAACTTAACAAAGAGAGCTAGAGGGGAAAAAACTGTTAACTGTGTAATAATTCCTCTTTCTCTTTCTCTTTTAGTGCGGTGAAAAAGGTCATTATGCCAACAGATGCACCAAAGGACATCTGGCCTTTCTCAGTGGACAGTGACAGAGCAGAACGAAGAGCGCAAGGGAGCTATTAACACTGAGAAAAGGTTTCTGCCTAGCACTATGTCTTGAACTATTAATCAGGTTGTTTTTTAATGCCATTACTGAAAGAACTGGTCAGAGGCTGGCTGCTGCTAAGCAACATTTTTGTAATTGTCCACAACTTTTTTTTTTATGTTTTAACCTTTTTAAAATAGATTTTGGCCTCCGCCTGTTTTCATTGAGCCCCGCTGAGAGGTAGACCTAAAAGCCGATAGATATGCAACCCCCTCACCGGTGCAGCACTCTACGTAAACGCATCTTACGCCAGTGTTTCTTTAAAGTGTTTTCCTTCTGCCACTTCTCTTTGGAGAACCTGCAGCGTTTCAGCCCTCTCTTTGGAAGCAGGAAGACTGACTGGGAAAACTAATACTTGAAATGCCTTCCCTTCAGTGAGGAAGCAGGGATTCTGCTGTCCTGTAGCTCTTAAAAAGCAAAGTCGTGTTCCCTGGTCCAGCCTGTTGTAGTCGGTACGCTTGTCCTGGTGGCTGACTTAACGCATCATGTACATCAGGCTGCAAAACTCTCGTCCACTTGCTTTGTTTCTGTGCTTCTTGCTATACTGAAGGTTAGAAATCAATCTTCTGGGTGAGAACTGATCAAGGGGAGGATTAATTGGCATCTTGGTGGTTAGCCAAACAATGAGGAACAATGATTGTAGGAAATCCACATCTGTGCTCATTTTCCATTTGCAAAAAGCAAGGAGGGAAATGAGCATGGCTTGAAGAGTAGGAACAGAAGAGTCTTGTCTCAGCCCCCTGTCGTCCAGCTCACACCGAGCAGGTATTTCCGTAGCCTAGAGAAGACCAAGAAGTGGAGATGTATATTCTCATGGAACACTGCTTTTAGAAGTGGTAGAGCATTCTTCTGAGAGCAATTTTTGCAAGCCAAAACCCATCCGTTTTGTGAGAAAACTATTTCAAAAGGGCCAATGATAAAATGTGAATTAAAAAAAAAAAAATTGCACCTACAATATGAGCCTTATTGATTCTAACCCATCTCTGATTTGCTGACTGCCTTTTTACTTTGTTTTTATTGAAATGTACTGATGGAAATAGCTGGCTGTGAATTTTTTTTTTAAGAACAAGATAATATGACTAGATTAAGTGACCAGAGCCTATGTTGGTGTGAGTGACCGCGGTTATTTCACTGTGGAGAGTCAAAGTCAGTCAAAATAGAAGTTTCAAGTCTAAGTGACTGTGGTGTGACAGACCATCAGACACTTTTCATAACACATTGGGCCCCAGAGGCTGAACAGCTGCCACAGAATGAGGTGTGTTATCTGCGCGTAACTAGGCACGTGGAAAGGGAACCGCAACACTTCGGTGTCTGGCTGCCTTCCCCATCTAGTTCAGGAGTTCAGGTCTTCACTACCTGAACGGGTATTTTCCAAAACTGAAAGCTTTCCTGTAACCACTGAAGCTCTTAAGAGATTCTTCATATCCCTTAACAAGTGGTTTTCATTCTCCCTGCTATCCAGGAAAGGACAGTGCAGGTTGTACCTGCAGTTACAAGCCTCGGCAGGTAGTGCTGCCACAGTGGGACACACTTGCTTAGAGGGGTGCGTAAGGAAGGTCTTCAGCTGGGGCCAAACCCACCCATGCTCCTTTAAGCTGCATTTATGCACATAGTGTCTCCCGTTAAACTTCTCACCACTGCATTTAAGTCAAGAAGCAAAGTTTTCCTTCAGTTTAACTTTATGGACCTTTGTTATATTAAAGGTCTCTTAAAACTTACATCCATTCAGAATAACTTCCCAGCTTTTTTTAGGAAGGGAAGTAGGTAGAGTTTTGATAGAAAAGGGTTATCAGAGGTAAGCAGCATTAGCATCCCAGTGACAGAATGAGAGTTGTGGACCTCCTTAAAGCTAAACCACTCTCATCTGAGGCAGCACTCTGCAATGATGGAAAACTGCCCAAATACCTACAATTCCCAGGCAACAGCCTCACTGAGAATCAGAAACACGTGGCCACACCAACACACCACCTAAAGCTCAGATACTGTTCTTTCAAATCAAAATAGTATATCCTTTCAGGTAGTTGTTCAACCTGTACATAACGGCCATTTATTTAGGTGCAATTCAATGCTTTTTACTTTTATCAAACTGTTAAATAGGAATCCATTGTAATAGTTTCCCCAGTTCATGATGCAACCCAAGTAGCAGGCGCTTTCCCAACCATCCCTGAACTTATCCTTGAGGGGTGAAACTCTAAGATGATAAACTCACTTACACAGTACAATTAACAAGTCAATTATGAGTGTCAGCTCAGAAAATGTAAAGTGTATGCACTTTATTATTGGTTGTAATAGTACAGATTTTAATATGAATAGTTCTCTTGTCTTCTGTCAGGGTGTTCCAGCAGCCAAGTCTGTTCAAGGCTGTGGCTTCGCTTTCTGAAATTCACACTTCAGTGGTACTTCCTGTGGCGGTCATGCTCTGTATCATTCAAAGTAAAGCAAGTTAATTTTACTGAAGTCAGAAGAAAAAAAACACAGCTGAAGTTACTCTAAATCTCTCTAAATTACTCTAAAAATCTGAGCATGTAGTTTCTAAGTACTGCCAGCCATCTGATAACTTGCTAAAAGCATTCAAGTTCTCTATGGCTAAAAGAAGTCTGCTTGCCCACAGTCTCAGATTCAATCAGCAATTGTTAGCAGTCTTTATTTCTAAAAGTAGCAGCAGATTGTTTTTATTGCCCCGAGCAATCTTCCAAGCTGCACTATACACTTAGCCATCCTGCTCGTACTTACTGATGTGACTGTAGCTCCAGATGTAGCTGATGACAACATAACCAGCAAGCACCATGGAGATACCACCGAGGCCCCCTTTCTTGACATTGATATATTTATTGTAGTATCTGTCGTAACCTGTATAGGAGAAAAGTTGTTTTCAGAGCAGCCAGATGAGTTGCATATTTTTCTGTGTCAGAAAGAAGCAACCCAGTTTCACAGAACTTCAGGAAATTGTTTCTAATGAAACACCTGAGGGCCTCAGAAGCAAGTCAGAGAAGGCAACCCGTGTGTTAGTCAAGCAAGATAAATTCAGGTTAATAGTGCTAAGCCAAAAAAAAAAAAAAAAGAGAGAGTGAGTAAAAAAGCACCATATACCATTTTTACCTAAACATTATTGTGACTTTCATGAGCTCAAGCTGCTTTGGAATTATCTCTTTCTTTCAGACACATTTAGGGACATAGTTTAGTGGTAGGTTTGGCAATGTTAGGTTGCTGGTTGGACTTGATGATCTTAAAGGTCCCTTCCAACCTAGATAATTCTATGATTATGTAGACCCCTGCATTTGACATTTTGTGTTTAAATCTACCTGAATGCCGTATCTGAATCTATAGCAAAAGGCATCATCAAAACCTTCGCCAAGCAATCTATAAAAGCCCTGTGTCCTTTCTTATCATCTTTAGGAATCAACTGCATTTTTTCTTATTTACTCATGATGTTGGGAAACCTCAAGATTTTCAGCAAATAGGTTCAGGAGTAAGGTCACCGTATTTCCTCCTTATAAAAGAAGGAACACTGAAAACAAAACTTGGGAGGATAAAGCCTGTGTGAGAAACACATTTACAGCTGGGAGAACAAGAACCTACAGGCGGCACTGTTCTGGGAAAAAACATTGCCTTGAAGCAGCCCCTGTACTGCTGGGTCCTCCCTGACACAGCCAGAGATGCTCACAGAATGGTTTGGGTTGGAAGGGACCTTTAAAATCATCTAGTTCTCCCCCCCCTGCCATGGGCAGGGACATCTCCCACCAGCCCAGGTTGCTCAAAGCCCATTCAGCCTGGCCTTGAACACCTCCAGGGATGGGGCAACCACAGCTTCTGTGGGCTACTTGTGCCAGTGTCTCACCACCCTCACAGTACAGAATTTCTTCCTGATATCCAGTCTAAATCTACTCTCTTTCAGTTTGAAGGCATTATCCCTCATCCTATTGTTACATGCCCCTGTAAAAAGTCCCTCCCCAGCTCTCCTGTAGGCCCCCTTTAAGGACTTGGAAGGGGCTATAAGGTCTCCCCGGAGCCTTCTCCAGGCTGAACCCCCCCAGCTCCCTCAGCCTGTCCTCACAGCAGAGGTGCTCCAGCCCTCTGATCACCTTCGTGGCCTCCTCTGAACCTGCTCCAACAGGTCCATGTCCTTGTGCATGTGCCTAGCTCCCCCTTGGAGAAGCGATTCACACCCTCCAGCTCTCCACCAGCCGAGGGGGTGCGGCAGCCCCGCCGCGGGCCCCCCTCCCCTCTTCCCCGGGGCCCC